TCTTGTGTGACTTGAATCAAGTAAATCAATAATGAATTATATTGTAGTTAATAATGCACCGAATTCTCAAAATTTTTCAAAATTTGATATGGACCTTTGTTTCATAAAATCTCAAAATTTTTAATAATTTTCACAGAATCCTAAAAATTGCATCAAGTTTCCTCAAGACATAATATACTTGATCTTTAACGATTATCAAAACAAATCCTTTTTTTTTTGTTACTCCATAGTATCTTAACATAAAAATAAATTGTTGTCAATTATGTATAATAAATTAGCATTGTATGAACGAATGTTATTTTCAGTAATTCAAACCTACTAATTTGACTACCAATTTGACCTTTAAATTTGCGATATAGGTTTAACTTCTTGACGTAGAGTCAGAAGTATTAATAATGTATTATTTTATAAATCTAGAAACGTTTTGTTTCCTCAAAGGTCTGCTTGATTGAGGTTCTTGTATCCTATATTGTACGTGTACCTAAATCAAATCTGAGAATGACATCAACAGTTCGGAATGCACGATGCCTTTCAGGGGTAATCTATCTTTATGTATATATACATCCCACCATGACTGTAACAAAACGTTATTGTCAAGACATTTTTCAAATTCCTTTCCTCATTATAAAAGGATCCAGATTTACAAGATTTATTAGACCTAAATATCAACTATTATTACTCCTTTGAAATTTTGTTCTTATTTTAGAATAGCAATCAGAACTTAATGGGCCAGTTATACCGTAGAATAGACCAATTTTATGGCAATGCTATGTTACGTCACTCTTTTCATATAAAGTGGTACCAAAAACTTAAAATGCTACAAATTTATTAAGCATGTAACTTTATAACTTTCCGCATGTATTATAAAAAATACGCAGCGTAACATAGCCTTGCCATAACATTGGTCCATTTTATGGCAGTATTGGTCCATAACAGTTCTGAGTTGTTTCTTACGATTCTTTTTATAAATGCTTTTTAAAGCACTACTTAATAGTTGTTCCAGCTACCTTTATTATATTTTCATTGTTAGAATCACTCAAGAATTGATATATTTTTAGTTTGCAATTTAAGATTCGAATGTAGTACAAAAAACAAGGCAAGCCATTGGGTTTTTCTTCTAGGAAATGCCACTGTTAATTTCCAAATTAATTACTCAATGTAAATAAAAAAAGTTATAATCATGCATATTAGGCCAATCACGTAATAAGATTAGATATCTGCCAATTAGACATTAATATTTGTAAAACCACGGAAGAATTTTTAACTTTCCGTAGGGTAAGTTATTGTAATGGGCCGAAAACCGAAATTGAAAATTTTTACATTTCTCGATGTTTTGAAGATTTCTGAACGTTTTGGCAAACCTAAGAAAAAATGGATGTGTGTTTGTGTGTATGTATGTATGGATACAATTTTTCGGGCGCACGGTTTGAACGGTAAATGGTTCAAAAAACATTTGATTCCTATTGATAGGGAGATGTGCTGATTAGTTTTTGGCAAAGGCAGGTCCAACAGTTACGGAGATAAAGAGCAAAGAGTACAAAAAATAGAAATCGAGTTTTTGAGAGAACGGAGCATCTGATTTGAATGATCTAAAAACATTCAATTAGTAATGACTGGGAGAAGTGTTTATTAGTTTTTGGTAAAGCCAGGCCCAGCCATTTCGAAGATACGGAGCTAAATGTGCAAAAAATGGCAATTTTTGAGAGAACTAAGCGTCCGATTTAAATGATTCAAAAAACTGTCTGCTTGTCTTAACGAAATAATTGATTTTGGAAAAAAAATTTGTTTCAACTTTTTTTTCAAATTTTTTTTTTCAAGAAATTTTTTTTTTGTATATCGAAAATAATTCAGATTTAATGTTTAATTTTGACTATAGTTCTAATATACTTTAAACAAATAATTTCAACTTTGCAATTCAGTTTATATAATTCTTATAAATATTAGACAATGTTACAATATTTATAATAATCTATTTGAAAACATTCAGTATTCCTCAAACATTTCGTTACGATACGGGAAGTACCAGCAATTTGCCTTAAGGCACGATGTCATACAGCCCACTAGTTATTTTTTTTTTTGTAATTTTTAATTAATATTTTTTAATTAAATAAATACACATGAAGAAATAATAATTAATAACCTGTTTACTTAACAGGGAGCTATCTTAAATATTCTCAGCAGCACTAATTTTAGCATTTTTGCATGCATTCTTAACATTTAGTAAGGTTTCAGCTCGAATGTAAAAAATATGAAGTTTTTGCCATAATTAATTTTATATATTTATGAAATGAGAAAATTTTTGTAAGAGCCGCGTTTAGTATTTGTAATTATAATAACTGTATATGAACTCGAATTTCCATGGCGTATCCAAATTTTTATAAGCTTCCAACCTTTAAAATGTTTCACAATCTTACATTGAATTTAGATTGAAATTAAATTTCACACTAAACTTTTTCACTTTTTCGAAATTTTACACTATCTATAAAATATTGTATTGGTAAAATTTAATAATTGTTAATATTTCATAAGATAGGTTAGTAACTAAATAAATAATTTTATTCCATGATACGGGTTGCCGCCGAATGTTGACGCGTAACGTTTGAGGTTTATTTGCTGTTGCCGCCTTACGTTTGTTGCCGTATACGCAATTAATAACGTTCTAAAATAAATGCTAATTTTAGCAAAGCCGAGCCATTTCATTCACGAGGGTATTCCTCTTTGATCAAAGTGACTCACAGATGCATATTCATTACGTGTCATTTTTTGCGACACGGATTCAATTCATTACATCTGTACTTGACTCGAAGCTGGAGTAAATCAAATTAAAGATATTATAATGGAATATGGGAACAAAATATTTAAAGTTTGATATTAGAGACGGCGATAGACTCTTAATATTCTAAATTTATGTAAGTGGTATGGATTGTGTAAATGATTTCAGTGTGAACAGTAACAAGAGCATCATGTCAAATATTCAAACTAGTGGTGCGTGTCATCGTGCCTTAAGGCAAATTAGTATAACATTCTGTACTGAAAATCAAAATTATTAAAAAAGCTTTAAATTTGATTGCAAACTGAAAAAATAATTTGAGAATTTTAATTTTTTTTTTAAATTTAATTTTTTGTATTTCAAAATTTTTCGAAAATTTTGAACTTTTTTTTTAAAGCAATCGCGCTGTGTTTGAGATGATATATCGAAGCGCGTAAGTCTAATGAATAATTATTGGTACAAAACATATAGAAATGTAAACAAAATTTGAACTTATTAATGAAATATCTGATAATTTGATGTGTTCATGACTAATGATCATTTTTGACTGCCAAATCCGTTCTCTCAAAAATTTAATTACCATTTTTGGCACTTTTTACCTCGTATCGTCGAAACAGCTGCTTAAATCAAAAACTAATTAACATGTCTCCCCATAAATACAAAACGAATATTTTTTTAATTATTCAAATCAGCTGATTTATGTTCCCGAAATCGTCGACAAAATTTGTATCTGCACACACACATACATACATCAATTTTTTCTAACATTAGGGTATGTCACAGTATTCAGAAGACCTTGAAACATAGATAAATAAATTACTATAACCTACCATATGGGAAGTTAAAAAAGATTTCCAGTTTTTACATGAAGCTATATACGTATTGTTTATAATACGTTTTTAATTTTAAATTATACTTGTTTTTTCTAAAATCTTATGTACTCTTCAAAAAAATTAATGCTAGTAGAATGACCTTTTTGTATTTTTCTTTCTCGACAAATAAAACCAAATTTTGGATCAGATATTTTTGAGAATTCTCAACCTTGCCCAAAAGCAATAATAAACGCATTATCATTACTATTATTTTTATTAGTCGTTGCTTATTTCTACGTTTTTCGACATTAATAGGAAGCAATTCCTTGATAGCCTAATTAAAATAAGATATAGTTTATTACATTATAGATTATAGTTCGAATTCCACCACATAGCTGTCTTACTAATGGCGATATAAACTGCAGCTATACACACGAAAGGCAATTTTTACTTGAAATTATATTTGAGATATATATCCTCAAGTGAAAATTTGACATCATGCTACCTATGTCCAGCTTGGACAAGATTAACCCTCCGTCGGTCGGCGTGGTCTGGCCAGACTTTTTTCGACTTCAATTTAAAAAAAAAAAATACTTCTAGTAATCCTATCGACTTGAAATTTCTTGACTTTTCCTAAAATTTCATTAGCTGTCGATTAGTGAAAAAATCAGGACGAAAAAATGTACAGAAGGATAATTATAAGGATATGAACTTTTTTATACTTCGAACGGTCGGAAAGGTCTGTCTAGACCACCCATACATTTTGTATGAAATATACGCTTTTTGATATATGTTAACCAGTATTTTGTCTTTTTTCATTGTATTTTCTATTCAAACTGCGTTTTATATATTCTTTGCTATGTGTTGTAACATGAACGTTAGTATTTTCATGACGAGAGTTTCTTGAAAACCTACCAAATTTATTGGTAATCGCAAACACTGAAAATCGGATGAGTAATGCACACATTATCAACAATTTTTCTACCCGTACTGCGTTCGAAATTTTTTTTTGGCAAACCTGTAGTGAAATTATATTTTCACTTTGAGTTTTACAGCTCATTTCAAAGGCGACGCACCTCATTTCGTTTTTATTTGAATCTCACATTCATTTCAAAGGCGCCGAATAAGAATAAATATTGTTTTTCATTGATATAAAACAGAAAAATTAACAAAAAATGCAACGATTTTTTTATATTTATTGATTTTTTTATATAATCGTTAATATATAAGACACCAAAAACTCATTTATCCCATATAAATGCATGTAAAATGAATGATGGTCCAGCCAGACCTTTCCGACCGTTCGAAGGTGAAAAAATATCCGACCGACGGAGGGTTAAAATAGCACATATTCCAAAACAACTGGAGAATCTATATCAATTTGCTAACGCAATGTAACAATAATTAAAAGGACTCACCTTTGTAACAATACACAACATAGATATGACCTTGACCATAAAGTTAAAAGTCACAAGGTTCCAAATGCACCCGATCGAATATCACAGAATTTGCACTACTCACATCCACACAGAATTATTTTAAACGAAAACAAACTTTTACGTAACTATATTTTAATGTTCACTTCCGAAAGGTCACCGGCAAAAGAATTTCTGTAAAACCTGTGCTCCTGTTTTTATACTTTACCTAAAATTCAAAATAATTTGCTATTGGTCAAATAAAAGACAAGGACAAGTGTGAATTTCATGTTGATATGAAATAATTGTCACAAGTATTATTGTGATTAAACAATTTTGTTAGAAGCTGCAATCGATCCTCGGTTCATACAGCTGGTCGAATAGTAATTCTTATGCAATAGCTCATTAGAACAGTAAAACTTGTTGAAGCAATTTATTATTAATAATTGTTAAATAAGTCTGCATATATATATATATATATATATATATATATATAACTATCTAAATTAATATTAATAATAGTACCGTATTAGGATGTCCATGGGTTCCAATCTCGATCTGACGTTGTGAATATATAAACTGGTCTTAAATGTGAAAGGTTTTTTGATTAAAACTATTGAAATTATTCAAAAATGATCTACGTCACAATTAAATGTCCCTCGTTATAGGTCATATGATTCTTAATTCTACAAGGTCGATTTATTCAATATTCACGCAAAATATTAAATAAACGCTTAAGATAGATGATTAAGCATAATTAATGACAATTTGAAGAATAATGTTAATTTGAGAAAAGTTTTAACTTATGAAATTTATAATTCTTGCATGATATATTTATTCAACATAAAAAATGTATGTGATGCATTTATTTTTATATAAATTCTTGGTTTTATTAAAATTCGTAATTCATCAAGCATCAAACAATATTACCTTAATTGACAAAGTTAATTTTATCTATCATTATAACATTTATTACGACGTAATCATGATGTTCCGATGTCAAACCCTCTTTTTAGACAATCTGATATCAAGCAGTAGTAAAAAATATTTTTACTTCAAAATATAAATAAAAATATTGGTCTGATTCTGTCACAAAATAGACTAATGATATGGCAAGATCATGTAACGTAGCGTTTATCATATAAAGTGGTATTAAAAACAGTCAAAATGCTGTGTGATTACTGTGAAGTTAGGCGCTTTACATAGAAACCTAGAAAACGCACAAACGTCTAAAAAAGAATGTTATCGTAACTGCATCTTTCTGATGTGGCATAATAACATATGAGTGAAGTTACATTATTTATTACACATAGCATTTTGACAGTTTTTAGTACCATTTTATATGCAAAACGCTACGTGACACAGCCTTGCCATAACATTGGTCTAATTTACGGTAGAATCGTAATATATTTCCAACCCTATATTTCCAAGTATTTGAGCGAGAAAAAAAAGATCATTATTAGAATTCTTTTAGAAAAATATTATATCACATACAAATAAAACAATTACAGGGTTGCTTTCAAAAAAAAACTACGTTTTCGTTAAATGAAATATTATCATAATACAACAGCTCATAGGATTGATTGTTACTCAAGTTCTGATTGTTGTTTAAAAAGAAAACAACAAACTATTATAAGAAAACTAGTGGTGTATGGTATCGTGTTCTAAAAATAAGGTAAATTGCTGGAAATTTCCGTAATATTCCGTATTCTTTCCGTAATGATAACGAAATATTCAAAGAATAAAACTCGATTCTATTTCTCTCAAAAACACGATTTCTATTTTCTGCATTTTTTGCTTCATATCTCCAAAACGGCTTGACCTGTCTTTGCGAAAAACTTACCAGCACATCTCCCTATCGAAAGGAATAGAATATTTTTTTAACCATCCAAATCGGTTGATTCGCCGTAAAAATTGTATCCATACATACATACACACACACATCCATTTTTTATAAGGTATGCCAAAATATTCAGAAACCTTCAAAACATGAAGATATGCAAAAATTTTCAATTTCGATTTTTGGACGATAAGGAAAGTTTATATATTAACAAATGTATGAATAAATCTGCAAATATTTATCACTCGCCACTGTATTAATATAAAGTTTGTAATATAATATGAATAAATTATCCATATCATTAGGTATAAAAAATTACAATTACTATATACTGAACCCTTAGTGTACGAATCTTCTTTGCTCTTGATTGTTATTTTATATCCGATGTGTCTATTTTTCCAATTTGCATACAGATATTCATCATTTAAAATTGCGTTGATTAATATAATAATAACGCAATTATAAATTTGTAATGATCATTGTTTTCTGGTTTTATATGTTAATCGCGACAAGTATTTATCACCCACTCAATTATATGCTATTTTTCAATATTTCATTAGAATATGAGAATAACATAATTAATATGGCAATTGAGATGAGAAGATCTTGCCATATATTGTTGTGTAAGGTCGCGTATTCTTGTTTTTTTTTTGTTTACATATTATTCATAGATTCTTTTAGTAATTATTGATTAAATTTTTTATTATTGTTTATTGGATCTGGTTGTGATGATAAATCACATATGTAATAGATAGTTTTATTATGTTCATTTTCAGAGGATAATAAAATGCAAATCATTGTTTCAAATTGAACATTAATAATATTAATAATATTTAAATAACATTTAATATTTTGCTTAATATATGAATATATGAACATATAAAATATATTTGGATATGTGAAAAATATCTATATTAGTAATTAAATTAGCAATTATGTTATTGGTAATTTATAGGTAATAATTAAATAGAAATTTTATAGTTTTGTCAGTTAATGGTCACAAAAATTCACTCAATTTTTAATTTATAAATACTTTCTATGTTTCAGGGTTTTAGAATGTCAAGAAATATTAAAAACAAACTAGAATTGTATTAATACCTGTTTACACTTTTGTTTGTTTTTAATAATTCCTGATGAAGATGACATCCCAGAGAGATATAAGTAAAAATTTAATAAATTTAAAAAATGGGATTTAGTTACAATATATATATATATATATATATATATATATATATTATATATATATATATATCTTAGAAATATGGACATAAGAAATACTTTAATTTAAATGTATATATTATTTATATAAAAATTACAAATACGTATTCACTTAACAATCAAATAAATTAATAAAAAAATATTAGCATATATTAACGCGGTTTAATATATAATAATAAATACTTATTAAAACATATATAAAATTATTAAATATATGGTAATAAATAATTATTAAAAATAATAATTTTAAAATTAAACTTATCTTCTAGAGAATAATGTCGTCGGGTATCAGTGAACATGTCTTCATATGGAGTTGATATTTTTGGAAATTAACCTGAAATAGAATAAAATTAACCAGTTATTTATGCACATAAAAGAACAAGATTCTATTAAAAATTTACTAATGTCATTCTAAGTATTATTCCAAAATTAACAAACTCGTTTCATATTAGATGCAGAATTAATTGCTGATGTCGCATGATTATGATGTTTGATTAAAACTATTTTTAATTTAAATTTAAAAAATAATATTAACTGTTTGAATTTTCTAATAGAAGGACTTTGACAAATAATAATAATAGCTATTGCTGCATCTCTGAATAAATCTAAAATTAATTTACATTTATTACTTTTTCTTACTCTTTTGATAAAGTAATAATGTTTATAACGGAGTTCTTCTATTAAGAAATGGTATAAATATAGATCTATCATCATCTATCATAATACATTCAAAATATATCCAGATAATCATGTAAGATTTAACACCAGTTAGAAAATAACGCAATGGCGTGTGTAAAATAAAACGAGCATCACGCCAGGTGAATATAATGTTAATTGTTGTATAACAGCAAATATTGTAATTATAAATTATCTCAATTGATTTTGAATATTTATTCTTATATACCAGATATCAGCCACAATTAGACTGGTGAAGAATTGCGACAATAGAAATCTTAAATAAATAAAATATTGAATATATTTGAGATTGTGGAAATCTGAGGGACATTCCACAATTTTTTTTTACTAAAAATGTTATTAGACTGGACCAAACATTATATTTATATATGTTGTTAAATTGCAGTAAAAAATCTGATCCATCACTAAAGTTGTTACACGTTTTATAAAAACCGTGAACAGCCAAGGAGCTTCTATTTAATTAATGTAATTATATTGCTATATTATTGATTTAAAATATATAAATATATACGATTAATGCAAAAATCAGCTAAAATAATGTCGAGATAAATAGTAAGTAATATTAAACCAATTGGAGATAATATAGAAACTAATATGAGAACATTTTAAAAAATAGCTAATTTTTAGACACGGTTTAGTGGCATTCAGTTTTACTTGCGATAGAAAACTTTAGTTATGCATTTGTGTTTAAATTAGAGTTATGGCTATGTTACTTAGCACAAAGTTAATCAACTTACCTTAGAGTAAGTTATAGAAATCGCAAAAAATCGAAAATGAAAATTTACGTTTTAATGGTTTCTGAACACTTTGGCATACCTACCAATGGATGTATGTGTGTGCGGATACAAATTTTGCCGACGATTTCGAGAACATTCAACCAATTTAAATGATTCAAAAAAAAAAAATCGATTCCTATTCCGATTTGAATGATTAAAAAAACATTTTACTTGTATTGACGAACTGAAGAACTGATTTAACTATTGAGAAAGCAGATCTATCTAGGTTTCAAACATCAAATGAAAAAAGTGAAATAATGCCATCTGTCGGTCAAAAACGATATTGGACATATGCACATCAACGGCAAGTTCCAGCAAATTGCCTTAAGGCACGATACCACGCACCACTAGTTTTTATTGTTATTCAAACTGTTTGTAGTAATAAATTTTTACCATGATAACGCCTGTCTCGGTAACGGTTAAGACCGTCGCCACGGTAACGTCCGCCGCCTCCGCCGCCGCCGTGGTAACGATTGCCGCCATAGTAGCGTCCGCCGCCGCCGCCGCCGTAGTGCCTCTGAGCCGTTTCGGCGGTTTCCAAGTCCAGGTGAGCCTCTGACCCGGGCACTGGGCTGTCTGGTGTCTGTGCATGAATGAATACTGCCATCAGCATCAAAGCAAGGAGTAGGAAAATGCACTGAAAAAAAGAAAATGACATTAAATTTTAATTTTGTCTAATTTTTTGCCATTTGACCCCAAATTTTGACTTTATATTAGTGTTCAGCGGTAAAAACTACATTGGAAAACATATACAGACATAATACAGATAATAATAATACAGACATTTTTTATTCTTCTGCGTAATCGTTATAAATGGTATTTAGAAATGATAAGGAGAAGTAGATGGTTGTTAGTAATTTTAGTAAAAAAGTAACCATTAAAATGAATATTTAAGTCGGAAAACATTTACTTTTTGTATTAGCAAGAACGAGAGCTTCAAAAGTCCAACAAACTATTGAGCTAACTTCTTCATCGACGTGGCTATATAAATGGCAACCCAAACGGTTTCCCACAAAATTGTTATTACAATTTCTGTGATACCGATGATTTTTTTATACTGTTTTATACTTTCTATACTGTTATCTATATTTCCATATGAAAAACGATGTGTCAACGTTGAATGTCAAGAACAATCCTATCAGTGCTTTTCTTTTACAATAATTACATTATAATCCCAAGTAAAGCATATTTTCAAGTCTTGATCATGATTATATGATGATTGGTTCTGCTGGATTGGATTCATGGATTGAAAAAGTATGAAACATAAAAGAGTCATAAAAAATCAATTTTACTGCTTTCACTTTAAAATTTTTTAGAATTGATGACATTTGGAATTTGTTTTAAACGTTATATCAAAATAATAGATATATATGTACTGTATAAAATAAATATGATTATGAAAGCGTATAAAATTTTGTTATATGGAGTATTAATATTCCCTGGTGCCTACTAAATAAAGTTGATGCATAAAATTTATTTTTAACCATTATTGTATTTTACTAGTTTGAATTATGATTATATCGTTAAAGATTTTAAAATAGACGAAGTAGCTACTTAAAATTGCGCACTGATGTTTCCGGGCAAGTACTTATTATTAAAATACTATTTCTTGTATTCAAGTGATATTTCATAATATGTAAAGTTATATAAGTGATGCACATTGTGTAAATAACTGATATAATATTTTATGTACACAGTTTAGTTTTTTGATTGCATGAGAAATTTTTGCTAGTTCAAAAATTCAAAAAATTGTTATAATAAAAATTAATATAATTTTAACTTAAATATTTTTTAACCACTACTATTATTACTATTTTTTCAAATATAAAATAAAAACAATGTATTTTATTATTTAATAAAATTAAGTTCCACCCACCTTCATTGTGTCTTGTTTAGCTTGAGCCTTGCACAAAATGAACCACTATACAATACTTTATTGTTGTTCTATGAGCTGTCGAAAGCTTTTCTGTCAATTTAAGTAAATTTGTACCATCTTATATACAGCTAACAAATCACTCAAAACAAACGAGGTTTACTTCGTCGAAAACAAATACATATATTTATCACCAGAGTTGATCATATCATATGGCAATTAATTGCACAGCGTCATATTGCGTCACTCATATAGGACGTCTGTCTAGGAATCCAAGGTAAGAGAATTGCTTATTTTTTTACTCTTTGTCTGCACATACACGCATTGGGGGGTGAGCTGGATTTACAGTAGGGGCAATCGGGGCTACTGCCCAGGGCGGCAAATTTTTGGGGGCGGCAAAATTTGGATAGTGAGAAAAAAATTCTATACAATGTAATCAAATTTTTTTACCAACATTTTTATATTTCAAGAAATATAATTAACAAAACATAATACGATTGCAATGCAAAATTTGGGTTGAAATAACCGATTATTAAAATTTATTATTTTGCTTTGCCTCCCTCTCCGAACGTAAATTATCAAATTGGTTAATAAGTTATTAAATTTGGCAATTTGGCTAATATAAAGATCCGTAAACAAGCTGAAAGTTTAAGAAAAATATTTATTTCAGTTCTCGAGCCCTCTTAAAATGACGAATTTGTGCACTTCCAAGTTTATAGCGTCGAAAAAAGTTTAAACTAGTGACTCATGGCATTGTGCCTTAAGACAAATTATTAAAATATCCCGTACTAAAAATTACATTTTATAAAAAGCTTTTCAACTTTTTGCAAAACAATCGCGCTGCGTAGCTGTTTCAGAGAAGAAATATCGAAACTCAATTACCATTTTTCGTAATTGCCTTTGCCAAAAACTAATCGGCACGTCTCCCCATTAATACAAATCTAATATTTTTTAATTATTTAAGTCGATTTCGGGAACACGGATCAACCGATTTAAATGATTCAATTCCTATTTTTAAGGAGACGTGCTGATTAGTTATTGGCCAAGGCAGGTCCAACTGTTTTGACGATACGGGCCAAAATGCCAAAAATGATAATTCAGTTTTTGAGAAAAGAAGCGTCCAATATCATTCAAAAAAATTTACAGAATAAATAACTGCTTAAATTTGTGGGAGGCAGGTTTAGCGGTTTCGATAATCCAATAAAAAAAATGGTAAAAGAAACATTTGGTGGACAAAAGTGATCACAAAACATATGCACATCAAATTATCAGATATTTTAAAAATATGTTAATAAGTATAAATTTTGTTTACATTTATATGCGTTCTGTAACATTGTTTATCCGTTAGACTGCGACGCGGCGTTTACGCGCTTCTATATTTTGTCCCTACGCAGATGAAGCAGCGCGATTGCTTTAAAAAAAAGTTCGAAAGTTCGTAAAATTTCAGGGATGGGGCGGCATTTTTGTCAGTGCCCCGGGGCGCCAAATTTCTAAATCCGGCCCTGGGGGTGACAATCACTATAATACATTTTAACTGATAATAGATAAATTACATAACATTTTTGTTAGGTAATAAAAGTCTGCATCTGAATGAAATTGGTACTTTGTAATGAAGGACCACTAATTAGACTATATGATCTAGTGCTAAATTCCAAGCGTGCATAATGTATATAATAAACGTCTCGATTTTTATATTTTTGAGAGGCAACCCAGCGGCTAACCTCTCTTCTTTTATATATGTAGACTATATATAAGATATGTCTATTTATTAGTGTTGGCATATAAGTGTTGCAGCAATGCCCGCGAAAGGCCATTTGTACTTCAGATTATATTTGAGAACTATAACTTCAAGTGAAAATTTGACAAATACGTGATACCGAGCTGCCCAAATTAAGTCACAAAACTTTCAAAATTGCATCAAAATGTCTTTCAAAAATTTTCAAAATAAATTAATATGCACAATTGTTTCATCAAGTCTCAAAATTTTTGATAATTTTCAAAGAATCTCAAAAATTGCACCAAGATGCCAGTAATTTTGTAAGATTGTTAGAATGAATAATATTTTTGGTACTTTGTTCTAACTTAACACAAAAATATAGTGTTGTCAATTATGTATAATAAATTAGCATTGTATGAACGAAGTTTATTTTCAGTAGTTCAACCTTTCTAATTTGACTACCAATTTGACCTTTAAATTTAAGATATAGGTTCAACTTCTTGACGTAGAGTCAGAAGTATTACTAATGTATTATTTTATAAATCTAGAAACGTTTTGTTTCCTCAAAGGTCCGTTTGATTGAGGTTCTTGTATCCTATATTGTACGTGTACCTAAATCAAATCTGAGAATGACATCAACAGTTCGGAATGCAGGATGCATTCAGGGGTAATCTATCTTTATGTATATATACATCCCACCATGACTGTAAAAAAACGTTATTGTCAAGACATTTTTCAAATTCCTTTTCTCATTATAAAAGGATCCAGATTTACAAGATTTATTAGACCTAAATAACAACTATTATTACTGCTTTGAAATTTTGTTCTTATTTTAGAATAGCAATCAGAACTTAACGAGCCAATTCAGCAGTAAAATAGACCACAGCTATTTTTCATATAAAATACTACTAAAAACTGTCCAAATGCTATGTATTTGCTATGCGATCAGAAGTTCACACAAAAATCTAACTTTTAGCACGTATTATTATGCAACATCAGAAAGATGCATTTATAATGAGATGAGATGATTTTCATTTTTGAAGTTCAAAGCAGTTCACACCAACCACATAGCATTTTGATAGTTTGTAGTACCATTTTATAAGAAAAAAACGCAGCGTAACATAGCCTTGCCATAACATTGGTCTATTGTATGGCAGAATTGGTCCATAATAGTTCTGAGTTGTTTCTAAAGATTCCTATTATAAAAACACTTTTAAAAGCACTACTTAATACTTGTTACAGCTACCTTTAATATATTTTCCTTGCTATAATCACTCAAGAATTGATATATTATTAATTTGCTGTAGCAATGTCAGAAATAAAACTATTTTTACATGGAACTATATTCAGATCTATATTTTTAAGTGAAAGTGAAGTGAAATACTACTTGATATCACGCTGTCCGTGGTGGGTAACCACCTGAAACATTGTGGTTACAATGCTAAAGATCTTATAACAGAGCCACAACTCGCCCATATGGAAAAATATACAACATGAATATACAAACATAAATATATTTTTAAAACAGATTCAAAATATCATTACCCTTTAAGTTTGAGATGTTATGCAGCTTAGTAAATTATATACATTTTTTGTAAAAAAACTGATTGATATGCAACATTTGCTAATCTAGATTAAATTTTATGTTTTCAAGTAAACACATCAGCGTTTGTTTCATTTGTACACATACTATTAATACATTTTTATGTTTAATGATCTATACATACATACAAATCTAGTTTTATTTAGTCTTTATATAATGTTTTTTAAACTTGCAAAATGCTATAAAATGTCTTATTTTCACATACTACTACCAGTAACACCCATCACTAACCTATATGGAATGGATTTATCTTTTTCCAATACCTTTTCATATTTATTTCATATAAAAGTAGTAAATAAATAGATTTAAATATCTGAATTGAGATAAAGTTATAATTATTAACATACTAGGTATGTTGTATGTGTAGTATATATGTGTGTGCATGTATGTGTATGTGGAGCATTCTTGTGTTTATAATTTTATGTGTATATTGTAGTTTATTCATTTTTGTAAAATAAAATTAAATTTTGATTAAAATATAGTACAAAAATACAAGGCGAACCATTGGGGTTTCCTTCTAGAAAATGCCACTGTTAATTTCCAAATCAATTACTCAATGTCTATCTATAGATATAGTGTGATATGTAAATAAAAATAAAGTTATAATAATGCAATTCAGACTAGTCGCGTGATAAGATTAGATATCTGCTAGATAGATATTTATATTTTGAAATCCACGGAAGAATTTTGAATTTTTTTGTAATTTTAGATTATTATTCTTTAATTAAATGAATACACATGAAGAAATAATAATTAATAACCTGGTTACTTAACAGCGAGCTATCTTAAATATACTCAGCAGCACTGATTTTAAAATTTTTGCAAGCATTATTAACATTTAGAAAGGTTTCAGCTCGAATATAAAAAATATGTAGTTTTTGCCATAATAAATTTTATATATTTACGAAATTAGAAAATTAGTTGGTAATTGTAATTATAAAAATTATGAACTCGAATTTCTATGGCATATCTAAATTTTTGTAAGATTGCCATTTTTTTCATAAGCTTCAAGATGTTTCACTTTCTTACGTAGAATTCAAATTGTAATTATTTAACTTATCGAAATTTTACACTATCTGTAATATATTTTATTGATAAAATTTAATAATTGTTAATATTTTACAATAGATACAATAGATTTTAAAATTAATAGATGACTAAATAAATAATTTTATTCCATGATACGGGTTGCCGCCGAATGTTGACGCGTAACGTTTGAGGTTTATTTGCTGTTGCCGCCTTACGTTTGTTGCCGTATACGCAATTAATAACGTTCTAAAATAAATGCTAATTTTAGCAAAGCCGAGCCATTTCATTCACGAGGGTATTCCTCTTTGATCAAAGTGACTCACAGATGCATATTCATTACGTGTCATTTTTTGCGACACGGATTCAATTCATTACATCTGTACCTGACTCGAAGCTGGAGTAAATCAAATTAAAGATATTTTAATGGAATATGGAAACAAAATATTTAAAGTTTGATATTAGAGACGGCGATAGACTCGGTTAATATTCCAAAATTATATGTAAGTAGTATGGGTCGTGTAAATGATTTCAGCGTGAACAGTAACAAGAGCATCATGTCAAATATTCAAACTAGTGGTGCATGCCATCGTATCGTGCCGTAAAGCAAATTAGTGTAACATCCCGTACCGAAAATATTTCTTTTTAAAAAAGCTTTAAATTTTTTTGAAAACTGAAGAAAATAATTTGAGAATTTTGAAATTTTTTTAAAATTTATTTTTTTGTATTTCAAAATTTTTAGAAAATTTTGAACTTTTTTTAAAGCAATTTTAAGTCTAATGGACAAATATTGGTAGGGAAGATATAGAAATGTAACAAAATGTGTACTTATTATTAAAATATCAGATAATTTGAGGTGCATATGTTTAATGAAGATTTTTGACAGTCAAACAGCATTTTTTTTTTACTTTTTCCATTAAATCTCCGAAACTGCTAAATCTGCGTATCCAACAATTTAATTCGTTTTTAATTTTGCCAATACAAATAAAATGTTTTTTGAATCATTCAATTCGAACGGTCCGTTCTATCAAACACTGAAATACTATTTTTGGCACTTTTTGCTCCGTATCTTCGAAACGGATGGATCTGCCTAAGCCAAAAACTAATCAACATGTCTCCCCATAAACACAAATCGAACATTTTTTGAATTATTCAAATCGGTTGATCAGTGTTCCCGAAATCGCCAACGAAAATATGTATCCGCACACACACATACATTAATCCATTTTTTCTAACATTAAGGTATGTCACAATATTCAGAAGACCTTGAAACAAAGAAATAATTTGCTATAACTTACCCTATGGGAAGTTAAAAAAGATTTCTAGTTTTTACATGAAGCTATATACGTATTATTTATTATACTTGTTTTTAAGCTTATCTACTCTTCAAAAAATGAATGCTAATAGAATGACCTTTTTTGTATTTTTCTTTCTCGACAAATAAAACAAAATTTTGGCCAAGATTTTTTTGAGAATTTTCAACCTTACCCAAATGCAATATCAAACGTATTATCATTACTATTATTTTTAATGGTCGTTCCTTATTTTTATGTTTTATGAGGTTATTAGATAGCAATCCATCGATTGCCTAATTAAAATAAGATATAGTTTATTATATTATAGATTATAGTTAGAATTCTAAACGCTATTATATGGCCACTACATCGTACTACGTCTTACAAATGGCGATATAAACTGCAGCTATGCACAAGAAAGGCAATATTTACTTGAAATTATATTGGAAATGTATATACTCAAGTGCAAATTTAACATCATGCTACCTATATCCAGCTACGACAAGATTAGAATATTCCAAGCATAATCCAAAACAACTGGAGAATCTACATCAATTTGCTAACGCAATGTAACAAGAATTAAAAGAACTCACCTTTGTAACAATACACAACATAGATATGACCTTGACCATAAAGTTAAAAGTCACAAGGTTCCAAATGCACCCGATCGAATATCACAGAATTTGCACTACTCACATCCACACAGAATTATTTTGAACGAAAGCAAAATTTTACGTAACTATATTTTAATGTTCACTTCCAAAAGGTCACCGGCAAAAGAAACTCTGCAATACCTGTGCTCCTGTTTTTATACTTTACCTAAAATTCAAAATAATTTGCTATTGGTCAAATAAAAAACAAGGACAAGTGTAAATTTTATGTTGATATGAAATAATTGTCACAAGTATTATTGTGATTAAACAATTTTGAAGCATGAATCGATTTTAGGTTCATCCAGCTGGTCGAATAGTGATTCTTATGCAATACCTCATTAGAACAGTAAAACTTGTTGAAGCAATTATCGAGTTCTAATTATAATATATACTAGATCTGCACAATATATAAATATATATATATATATATATATATATATATATATATATCTAAATTAAATTAATATTAGTACCGTATTATGAAGACCATAATATCCAATCTCGATCTGATTTTGCGGATATATGAACTGGTCTTAAATATAGGAGGTTTTTTTATTAAAACTTTTGAAATTATTCATAAATGGCCTACGTCACAATTTTAAAAATAAGTTTGAGATGTTCTTCATTATAGGTCATATGATTATTAATTCTACAAGGTCGATTTATTCAATATTACACGCAAAATATGAAATAAACTCTTATTGTTAGATGATTAAGCATAATAATTAATGACAATTTGAAGAATAATGATAATTTGAAAAAAAAATGAATTTATAAAATTCATAATTGTTGCACAATATATTCAACGTAACAATTTTATGTGATGTCTTTATTTTTATATTAATTTTTGGTTTCATTAACATTTGTAATTACCTGGAAGCATCAACCATTTTACAATATTTCCTCAATTGACATAGTTAATTTCATTTACTATTGTAACATTTATTACGACGTAATCATAATGTTCTGATTTCAAACTTGTTTTTCGAAACAATCTGATATCGAGCAGTAGTGATAAACATTTTTACTTCAAAACATAGATGATAATAGTGGGCTGTATCTGCAGCAAAAAGACCAATGATATGGCAAGACCATGTTACGTAGTGTGTTTCATATAAAGTGGCATTAAAAACTGTCAAAATGTTATGTGGTTGCTGTGCATTCAGGCGTTTTAGATAAAAAAAACCTAATCTAGAACATGCACTAACGTCAAAAAAGAATGTTATCGTAACTGCTTCTTTCTGATGTGGCATAATAACATATGAGTGAAGTTACATTTCATGTGTAAAACGCCTGATCAGCATAGAAACTACATAGCGTTTTGATAGTTTTTAGTACCATTTTATAAGCAAAACGCTACGTAACACAGCCTTGCCATAACATTGGTCTAATTTACTTCTTATGTTTCCAAGTAAAGATAGTCGTTTTGGACATTACTGTGTCTAAAGACAAACATTATCATTATTAGAATTTTTTTAAGAAAATATTATATCACTTTAGAAATAAAAAATCATCGGGTTTCTTTCAAAAAAAAAAAATACGTACACGCATAAGGAAAGATGTGATGATCTTTCATGGCATTGATTGTTGCTCAAGTTCTGATTGTTGTTTGAAAAGAAAACAATAAAAAATTATATTATAATATATTAACAAATGTATAAATAAATCTGCACATATTGATCACTCGTCATAGTATCAATATAGAGATTGTAATATAATATGGATATTTTATCCATGTCATTAGGTATAAAAAATTACAGTTATTTTGTATTGAACCTTTAGTGTAAGAGTCTTCTTTACTCCCGATTGTTATTTTTATATCTGATCTGTCTATTTTTCCAATTTGCCTACAGATATTCATCATTTAAAATTGCGTTGATTAATATAATAATAACGCAATTATAAATTTGTTATAATCATTGTTTTCTGGTTTTATAATTTAATCTCGACAAGTATTTATCACCCACTCAATTATATGCAATTTTTCAATATTTCATTAGAATATGAGAATAACATAATTAATATGGCAATTGAGATGAGAAGATCTTGCCATGTATTGTTGTGTAAGGTCGCGTATTCTTGTTTTTTTTGTTTACATATTATTCATAAATTCTTTTAGTAATTATTGATTAAATTTTTTATTATTGTTAATTGGATCTGGTTGTGGTGATAAATCATATATGTAATAGATAGTTTTATTATGTTCATTTACAGAGGATAATAAAATGCATATCATTGTTTCAAATTGAACATTAATAATATTAATAATATTTACAACATTTAAAGAGCATTAATATAATTTTGCTCAATATATGAATATATAAAATATATTTAGATATGTGAAAAATATCTATATTGGCAATTTAATTAGCAATTATTTTATTGGTAATTTATAGGTAATAATTAAATAGAAATTTTATATGAATAGAAATAGAAATCATATATGAATGAAAACTTAGTTCAGAGAAATAAAATCATATATATATATATATATATATATATATATATATATATATATGTTTCCTAAAAATATGAGAATATAAGAAATATTTTAATTTAAATGTATATTTTATTTATATAAAAATTACAAATACGTATTCACTTAACAATCAAATAAATTAATAAAAAAATATTAGCATATATTAACGCGGTTCAATATATAATAATAAATACTTATTAAAACATATATAAGATTATTAAATATATGGTAATAAATAATTATTAATAATAATAATTTTAAAATACTTAAACTTATCTTCTAGAGAATAATGTCGTCGGGTATCAGTGAACATGTCTTCAGATGGAGTTGATATTTTTGGAAATTAACCTGAAATAGAATAAAATTAACCAGTTATTTATGCATATAAAAGAACAAGATTCTATTAAAAATTTACTAATGTCATTCTAAGTATTATTCCAAAATTAACAAACTCGTTTCATATTAGATGCCGAATTAATGGTTGATATCGCATGTTTATGATACCTATTGATATTGATTAAATTCATTTGATTAAAATTATGTTTATATCAAATTAAAGTATTACTATCTATTTGAAACTTATGTTACAAATGTCTTTGACTAACTATATAAATCCAACTTGAAACAATAATGCTTATAACGGAGTTCTTCTATGAAGAAATGGAATAAATATAGATCTATCATCATCTATCATAATGCATTCAAAATATATCCAGATAATCAAGTAAGATTTAACACCAATTAGAAAATAAAGCAATGGCGTGTGTAAAATAAAACGAGAACCGAGATTTCTCAAACACGCCAGATGAATATAATGATATTAGTCTTATAACAGCAAATATTGTAATTATAAATTATCTCAATTGATTTTGAATATTTATATTTATTGGTGAAGAAATGCGACAATAGAAATCTTAAATAAAATATTGAATCCTACATCCTACAAATTGGGTCAATCTGGGCTACGGCGAGGATATAATGATTTTATTACTGAAAATGTTACCAGGCAGGACCAAACATTAAATTCATATATGTTGTTAAATTGCAGCAAAATATCTGATCTAGCACTAAAGTTTATTCACGTTTTACAAAAACCCAGAACGGTCAAGAGCTTCTATTTCATTAATATAATGGAAAAATTAGGTAAAATAATGTCGAGGTAAATGGTAAGTAGTATGTAAACCAATTGGAGATAATATAGAAAATAATATAAGAACATTTTAAAAATAACAAATTTTTAGACCCAGTTTAATGGCATTTAGTTCTATTTGCTATGGACCACCAAGGTTTTCTACACCTAATTTATGAATTTGTGTTTGAATTATAACTGGTTGATTGATCACATAATGGAGTTATATATGTTACTTAGCACAAACTTTCCGTAGAGTAAGTCACAAAAATCGAAAATGAAAATTTTTGCATATCTGTACGTTTTTGAACATTTTGGCATACGTACCAATGGATGTACGTGTGTGAGTGGGGATACAAAATTTGTCGACGATTTCGAGAACACGGATCAACCAACGTAAATAATTGATGTAGAAACGTGATTATTTATATTTGGCCAAAGCAGGTTCGACCTTTTCAAAAACACGGGGCAAAAATGCCAAAAATGGTAATTCAGTTTCTGAGCGAACGGAGCATTCGAATTGAATGATTAAATAAACATTTTACTTGTATGGACGGACTCAAGAACTGATTTAAGTATCGGGTGGGCAGGTCTAGCGGTTTCAAATGATCAAATGAGAAAAGTGAAAAAATGCCATCTGGCGGTCAAAAATGATTATTAGACATATGCACATCAACGGAAAGTTCCAGCAATTTGCCTTAAGGCACGATGTCTTGCACTACTAGTTTTTATTGTTATTCAAACTGTTCATAGTAATAAATATTTACCATGATAACGCCTGTCTCGGTAACGGTCACCATGGTAACGTCCGCCTCCTCCGCCGCCGTGGTAGCGGTCGCCGCCACCATGGTAACGTCCGCCTCCTCCGCCGCCATAGTAGCGTCCGCCGCCGCCGCCGTAGTGCCTCTGAGCCGTTTCGGCAGTTTCCAAGTCCAGGTGAGCCTCTGACCCGGGCACTGGGCTGTCTGGTGTCTGTGCATGAACGAATACTGCCATCAGCATCAAAGCAAGGAGTAGGAAAATGCACTGAAAAAAAGAAAATGACATTAAATTTCAATTTTGTCTAATTTTTTGCCATTTGACCTCCAATTTTGACTTTAGATTTGTGTTCAGTGGTAAAAACTACATTGGAAAACATATACAGACGTAATACAGATAATAATAATACAGACATTTTTTATTCTTCTGCGTAATCGTTATAAATGGTATTTAGAAATAATAAGGAGAAGTAGATGGTTGTTAGTAATTTTAGTAAAAAAGTAACCATTAAAATGAATATTTAAGTCGGAAAACATTTACTTTTTGTATTAGCAACAACGAGAGCTTCAAAAGTCCAATAAACTATTGAGCTAACTTCTTCATCGACGTGGCTATATAAATGGCAACCCAAACGGTTTCCCACAAAATTGTTATTACAATTTCTGTGATACCGATGATTTTTTTATGGAAAAATACTGTTATCTATATTTCCATATGAAAAACGATGTGCCAACGTTGAGTGTCAAGAACAATCCTATCAGTGCTTTTCTT